CGGGGGTGGGGTAATTAAATAAGGGGGGGGGCAGCCAAAATTGTTTTTGCTTCGGGTGGCAAAAATCCTAGAGCCGGCCCTGGTTATGAAACTCAAGAAGAAGTTTCCTTTACTTGGAGTTAGGTGGGTGATCTTTGGTATTGTGATTCAATTAGGTGGCTGAAGACAACAAAACGTAGACTTCCAAAGGCAAGGGTACTCATTCAGTGAAGATTATTCCATAATATGGAACTTCATGGTTACTGTGTGGCCTGTGAGTAGACACTGCAATTTATTTCTCTTTATCTCTCGTTAAAGGAAATGCTTTATGTTTGCCTCACGTTTTCCATGCTTCTGTTTCTTGAATAAACCCTTCTCATTTGAAAACTGGAAACTTTGCATTTAGCACTGTCTTAATCATCAGAGTTTCTAAGTTACCACAACTCATTCATATTTATCTTTCCTAACAGGGGAGAAAGCAGTTTTGCCCAGAATCTAGATGACAGACTCTTTGTGCAAGAGTCTCCTTATTAAGAAATTTCTGTTGTGACTCTGATAACGGAATGCAACTGTAATTCAAATTCTGACCAATAATGAATGACTGTGCAAGTCATCACTTAACTGGGGGCATCAAAGAGACACAGGTTGGTTCTCTAGATCAGAGACTTTTTCCTTTTGTAATTCTTTTGAACACTGGTGGAAACAAGAAAAGTACGAGAAGAAAACAAGAAAAGGATTTGCTTCACATAAATATATCAAAGGGGAGATTACCTCTTTTTTGGCCTTTTCTAATTCCCCTTGTTGTATTTTTAGTTCTTCCTTTGACCTTTCCAGTTGTTCTTGCATTGCACTGTAGCTTTCAGATGTGCTGCCCTGGATAAAGGGTAGAAAAAGAAACAAGTCCCTTCACGCATTTAAAGTAACACACAACTTCTTAAAGGTGCGCGAGAATTATCTTCAGCTCTTGAAAGTAGGGCTTTAATTTAGGAAATGTAAGAGTAAGCTAGGTATGGTACTTCCATCTCTGTGTACTGTGGGTCAAATCAACAGCAAAAAGGAGACTTAAGATTGCCTTAAGGAATCAGCGAAGGATTCTCCTAGTATAGGGGAATCCTTAACTAGTGTGTACATTGGCTGCTCTTGGCCCCTTGACACAATGGAAGCCCTGAGCCAGGCTGGGGTGGGGCGGGTGTTGTGTCAAGGACAGGAATCTACTTGCTTCTTCTATTTCCCTCTTCTCTCCAGGTAGGCTGAGCGCTGCTCTGTTGCAAGTAGGGATTTAGCCCTGTATCTTTTGCAGAATCTCAGGGCAAACTCAACATTTTTTGGATTCCCTTTTTAAAGAGATACAAACACTTCATGCAAAAATATCTGAGAACATTTTGGACCCGATTCACCAGTACATTTACTCTTGTTTTAATGGGGTAAACCTGAGCCAATGTGGAGAAATAATTCTGCTGGTTTATAGTTTCTAGGGAGGTTTTTTTTTTCTTATTTTTTCATTTAAATGACTAAGAACATTTGCATGAAAATAAGATCTTAGAGATAATCCTCAGCGGATTCTGTGTTTATGACATTACAATCATCTCCTCAGAAATTAATTGTGATGTTGGTGAGGTTTATGATCGTGGGGGGAGAGGAGGCGGGAAGCAGGAGCAGAAGAACCATTAAGAAACAAAGATCCGGTGTTCAGGCAAATATCCTTAGCAATCAAAACAATGAAGAGCAACACACAATTTTTTTTTCTAAATGTGAACATTTTTCACAGTTTGCCATAAGACATCACTGCTAAGGGGCCCTAAAGATTTCATTCCTGTGGAATACGTACATGGACAGAAGAGCTGGGAGGGAACTGGATTTCCATTCTGAAATGGAACAGAGCCAAAAAATTTCAAAATTTCCTGTGAAACAAAATTCTGAAAAAAAATTTCAGCTTGATCTAAATACTTAACTGTGATAGAACTGAAATGTCTCATTATGAATTTCAAGTTTTAAAAGGTCAAAATCATCGTTTTTATATAATTTTTTTAGTTTGAAAAAGTAATTTCAAAATGAAAAATCAAAATATTCTGTTCTGAAAATGTCAAAAAGGCAGGACATTTTGACATTGAAATGCTTCCTTTGGTCAAAAATCAATGTTTTTAAAAAATCATTTGTTTCAGCTAAAATTTTCCAACCAACTCTAGTGTAAATAAAGTGGCTTTCTACACTAGCAACCCTGACATTTGTGAAAAGAATGCATTTTTATCATAAAAATTGACAACTGGACCATTTGGGTTCATTTTACCTTTGCAGACTCAAGTTCCATATTCTGCAGCACTTTACCACAACATTCAGAAAAACTGTTGCTTGATATTTTGTCTTCTGTTTCAAAGGCTAACTTTGTCACCTCCGGTCTCTCAGAAGTCTTTTGGGGCACCCTGGAGATCATAATGTTTTGATCACCCAAAAATGAACTTATCCCAACGTTACTAAAATGGCATTTAGAAGTCTCAGTGTTTTTAGAACACCGCACTTGACAATATCCTTTAATGCTACCAATATCCTCTTCCAAACAGGTGTCTTTATCTTTTCTAGTGAGATAGTCTGAGTGTTCTATAACTTGAATTCCTTTTTCTTTAGTATGTATTTTACCAGAAGCCATCTCTGTTTCCTTTGCTTGCATTCTATGTGGTAGACTCTTATTTTCTTGCTTCAATCTTAGCAACTTTCCTTCTATTCCGGAAATTTTATCTTTTATCAGCTCTTCATAGTTGATTCCAAGAGCAGACATTATTTCCTTCAATTCATTGTTTTCTTGAAGAAGGTTCTCAATTACTTTCTGAGATTCTAGAAGCTGTTCAGAACTTTCCCTATGGACTCCATCCATATCATTTTTTAGTATATGTTTTTCCTCTTGTAGATCAGAAATTGTTTGGTAGCATTTGGTTTTGCACTCATTCAATTCAGAAATCATTGTCATATATTTATCTTGTTCACATTTCAGCTCACTCAAACTTCCCAATAAAGTTTCTCTGTCTCCTTCTAGTTGAGATATTATCTGTAAATTTCTCTCTCTCTCTTCTTCCAGTTCATGAGATTTTTTTATATATTTTTCTTTGTCTTGTAATAGTTTAGCTATTTCTCTGAAAAAGCTATTTCTCTCCTCCTTGAGACCAGAAAGCAGCTGGAAATATTTAATCTTCTTTTCATCAAGAGCTACAATTTTCTTGAGAAATTTATTTGATTCCATCACCGGTATTTCTTTTTCAGAATTTCTATCTTCCTCTTTAACCAGACGAGAGACGTTCTTGGAAAGGATTTCAGTCTTACCCAAGAGAACACAAATCGCTCCTCGGCACCTAAAATTCTTTTCTTTTGAAACACTGTTATAACATTTACCATATATTTCCTCCTTGGCTAATAACTTTTGGGAAGAGTCCACATCAATTTCATGTACTGTTAATATGTGTTGAGAATATGCATCTATCTCCTCTTCTAGTGCACACATCTTCTGATAATATCTATCATTCTCTTCCTGTAACATAAGGAGCTTCTGTGAGTAACTCCCATTCTCTTTCATCAGTGCAGATATTCTTTGAGAATATATATCCTCTAACTTCTCTAACTTCTCTATTTCCACAGTATACCCATTGTTTTCTTCTTCTGCTGCTGATAGATAATGAACATGTTCAGAATATTCTTCCTCTAGTGCTAACCCTTTGTTTAAGTATAAATTTCTCTCTTGTGCAGGAGACAATATATTCAGTGGATACATATACTTATCTTCCTTCAGTGCAGACAGTTTTTGAGAGCATTTACTATATTCCTCTATCTGATCAGTCATTTGTTTGCATGATGACTTATCCTCATCTTCTCGTTCATACAGTTTTAGACATTGCTCTCTCTTTTCTTTCAGTTCAACCCTTTTTTGTAGACACACTTTTATTTGGTCAGTTAGATTCTCGGGTTGTTTACCCTTCTCTTCTGTCACAAAAATGTTCTTTTCTAGGCATCTTCTGTTCACTTCATCAAAGGTACAGATGGCTAAATGTTTTCCATGTGCATCCTTAAGTTCAGAGTTCTCTTGGGGATATCCCTCTAATTCCTTGTGTAGGACAGACATGTTTTGCTCACCTGGAATGCTTGCTGTATGAAATTTTGGTTCTGCTTCTTGCTCCCCAGTTTCATCATGTGCAACTTTGTTGGCTTTTTCAGAAATGCAAGTTATTGTTCTGATTTGTGCTTTCTCATCCCTTTTTTCTTCTTGCTGAGATTTCTCAGGACCATTTGTACTTTGATTTTTTCCATCATTTATTTCTTTATTTGAGTTTTTCTTTTCATCTGTGCTTTTCTGTATAGCTTTTTTATTTTGCAAACATTTTTCCATATAATCTTTTTCAACCTGGAGTTTGAAAATTTCAGTCTCAGTGTTAGCAACCTTTTCCTTTAGAGCTTCAGAATCTTTACTAGAAGAAAATCCTTTCACAACATGCAAGACACCATTAGAAAGACAAAAGTTATTGTGATATGTCTGGTTGTAATTCAAATTCAGCATTTTGTTCACTGGGAAAACAGATTCTGATCTGACACCTAGGACCTTGTGGATTTCAGGTTCTAGCAAGACAAACTGAGGCTCAATCAAAGTGGCAACTGTGAAGACAGGCGAATGATTAGCTGGTTGATTTATAGCTTGTTCCTTTAAGAGAAAGAAATATTCTTTTTCTTTGGTCCCCTTACTTCTCCCATCATTGCTTAGCCTCTCAGAGCAAGATAAGATTAGCTGTCTGTTTTTAAGCTGTCTTGGAGTACATCCAAACAACAGAGAAGCACCATCTGATCTTTGTGCACCAAGTACGACCTGGTAATAAAGAAAAGAGGAAGTGTCTCAAATTGAAAAACATAAGCTATAAGGAAAGTTGCCATATTGCTATTTCATATATACTTGCCTTTTGACTTGACCGTCTTGAAACATTTTATTACATATATATCGTTAGACAATATCATATAATCTCTGAATGTCTTATACTCATGCTAAGCTTTCTTGTGGAAATCTACTAGTAGTTAAAGTGTGGTAACCTCTGTTCTTTGTATGTGTAGAAGTATTAGAAACAAGATGTATGTGCTGTTAAGATTTGCCAAATAGAAATTGTGTGCTAGGTAGAGTTAGTATAAATGTCTCTATGGTCTACTCACATCTGGAATGTTATATATAAAACATAGATTAAAAAAAAGGTGTGTGAGGTCTGTGGAATCTGTGAAATTTTCTGTCATAAACAAGGGCAATATAAATATGGACAGAACTGAGTTCATAATTTGAAACAGAGTAATGATATACCTGCTGCAAGGCTCTGTTCCAGACTGGTAATGTATTAACCTTTCTGTTTTGTGCTTATCCATCTTTAATTAATGAACTAATTAATTAATTGAGCCCAGTTATCAGACTTCTTATCAATAAAGTAATTGAACCATCAGTAATATTATTATATATTTCGCATATATTATTTAATGCAAAAAAATCCTTTGCCATGTAAACTTCCTTAATATGGGAAGCTGGAGAACCTAGAGAATTGTAATGAGATAGAGCTTTTCCCTTCTTGGCTGCTAGTTTAATCTAGCCCAGGCTGGTAAAGAATGAAAGTTGACATCCTTGTGAAGCTGTTGGGTAACCAATGTGATATAAGTTTGTTGTCACTATTGAACACGGGTGAAATCCTGACTCCATTGAAGTCAATAGCAAAATTTTGATTGCCTTCAAAGGGGCCAGAATTTCAGCACAAGCATCTGGATCACATATGTTACCACAACTGGCAAAAACTGATATCCTTGTCTGCAGACTCAGTAAAGACAAAGAGTCTTGACTGGACAAGGAGTTGAACCTCTAAGGGATTCCTGACAAGTCTGGAGATGTCTGTTCGTGTTCTGTGGAGAGTAGACTTCAGAAAGCCATTCTCTTCTGCCTCCAGAGTTGTCAATGTGACACTTTTCATAAGCACAAAACTCACAAACACAAAATCCACATGAAACCTGCGCTAAAAAGGTACTGCATAGTCACTGACCCATCAAAGCAAGAGTCTTCTAACAATGGTGGAAATAATAGTAATTACATTTGTAAATTGTTTTTCTTTAAAGAAATCCTTGAATAAAACCCATAGGGACAGTATTATAGGGAAGGCTGACACTTCCCATTATAAGACCCCGTTTTCAGTTGCTTCATTCCAAAACTTTTTTTAGACTGGAATTTTCTATGCTTGGTATCTGCCTGAGGCTGAATTATTCTTTAAAGTTTCAACGAAACAGTTCCACCATTTTTGAGAACTTGGCAAGGGAAAAATACATTGCTTTTCCACTAAAAACAATCATGGAAACCTTTTCTTTGAGAAGCTCTAATGCCCCCATGCTTTGGAGCAGGGACTTGAAAGTGCACTTGGGTGCCCTTTGTGTCAGGGATGTATCTTTTACTGTCCTTGTGAAAAACTACCCACATTTGGCTAAATTATAAGTCTTTAAAAAAAAAATCTTAGTTTGCACATGCTCAGGACAACTCAAAAGTCAGGAGTCAGAGTTTAAGGCCAGAAGGGACCACTAGATCACCTACTATGACCTCCTGTGTATCATAGGCCACCACCATCACCCACACAGTAAACCCAACAACTGAAATTTGACCAATGTATTTCAGTCCACAGGAGAACCCTTTTCTGCAACTGTTTCAGTTTTAATTCAATTTTCTTGAACATAGGTGACCAGACTTGTACAGAGCATCCCAAATGAGGTCTTCCTAGATTGTCCATGCAACCGTAATTCAGCCCCCTCGTGTGTCTGCATTATGATACAGTATTTAATTACATGAGCATATATTATTTTTTCCACAGGATCCCTGCCTCATTCAGGGTACAGGATAGACCTGTTCTGGGAATGAATGAGGGCTGATTAACTGTAGGAATTCCACCTCATTTGTTGCAGAAGTAGAAAGTGTGCAATGAATGAGATGGGTAATTGTAGGAAGAGAAAGGATGGTCCCAGGATTAAGGCAGTTGAATGGTTTCCTAGAGAATTAGATTCTATTCCTGCCTCTGCCACAGAGTTTGTACATGATGCTAGTCAAGTCACTTAAAGCACATTTTTCACAGGTGATCACTGATTATCTGGCCCTCTTTTTCTGCGCACCCAATTGGAGACCCCAGTGTAAGGGACCAGAGCATAGGTGGTCTGACCTAGCAGTCATAGCTGGGCTGGAGTTCACACATCAGGGACAGTAGCAAGAGTTGGGGTCAAAGTCAGGCCGGGGTTGGAGACTGTATATCAGAGGTAGTACCAGGCTAGAGTCAGGTTGCAAGAGTCAAGATCGGAGTCAGGCTGGGATCAGAGGCCAGCAATCAAGATACGAGGTGAGGTCTGGAGAACCAGGAGGCCCAAAGTCTGTGTTATTGCCCAAACAACTTCCTAGGACACCCTCCTTGCTTAAACGGGTGGTTGGCCAATCACAGGGCCACAGCGTACTGTCACTCTGGCTGCCTTGGGCAGTACTTCCAGTGGCTCCTATTCTCCTGGGTGCGGCTCTGCATGGTCTTCCCTGTGGCACTGTGAGACCATCAGTCTACCAGGCTTTGCAGACCCACATTAGAGTTCCTGCATCCTTACACCTCTGGGGCCTGAAGTGCTGAATTCACAGCTGCAAGTGAAGTCAATGGGAGCTGTGCTTTGAACATATAAAGTGCTAGATAATGCTAGGTACTCTGCAAAATCAGACTCTAGGAGTCTTAAATTGGGTACCCAAAATTAGAGGCTACTTTTTGCCTTAATCTTTTCTGTGCTTCAGTTCCCCATCTGTAAAATGGGGATAATACTATGGATATTGTGATGATTAACACATTAATGTTTGTGAAGTACTCAGATAAAATAATGATAAGTATAATAGAAAAGTCCATGAGGAAATTAATAATTCTGTTTTCAGTGCATATTTTTAGTGCATATTACTGTTTTCAGTAATAATTCAGGTTTTGAATAGTGTACAGTAATACAGCAGGGGACTGAACAATGAGGAGAAATCAAAATGTTGAATAGATGCTCATTCAGTGAGCACTCATCCTGTGCATTGAATAAGGCAGGGTTTCTGTGGAAAATATATGTGATCATGTAATTAAAGACTGTACCATAACACACAAGGCATTTCCTAACTTTTTAATGTAGTTTTTTGTATGTAATATATATATGTATAATAAGGGCTACTTTAAAGTGTAATTAGTGCAAAGGAAAATGACTGTTTGCTGACTATGTTTTGTCTACCCCACAGTAAATAGTTGTTTTCCAGGAGCCAGTTTAATATCTTTAGGATTGTTCTCACTATACACATTGTTATAAAAACAAGAAACTGTGGTATTAAAATGCAAATACATATATTTTCATATATATCCCTCTCGTGTCCTAGGTAACATTAGTACTATGCCTGTAGGAACTGACTGCATGAGTGAACTCATGAGTATAACTCCCTGTTGACTAGAAACACTGCAATGATGATCACTCTCCAATCACTGGACAGAACAGACAGCCTTACCGCACTGTAAGAGCAATATTTGTTATCAAATGCTGTGTGAATTGTCCACTGATTTTCATAATATGCTAAGTACAACACTACAATCCCCAAGGTTTTATCAAAGTAACTTTTCTCTTTCTAAGCAAGGACATAAGTACTTAGGATAAAAACCTACCCTTCCATATTCACTGTCGCTCTCTATTGCCTATTCTGCACCTGAACATTATGTGGAGTTATCACTGCCATTGAAGGCGAAATCCTGGCTCCATTGAAGTCAATGGCAAAACTCCCATTGACTTCAATGGAGCCAAGACTTTACCCTGAACCCAGAATATGTCATCAGGATCCACAGTGGAGATCCAAGAGCTGGAATTCATTATTTTATTATACAAACAGAAAATCTGTGCGTTATATATGCATAGTAATAATGTCTGTAAGGGGAAAATACCAACATGTAAATAGTATTTTTCTGGTAGATCTGTCTTCACCTTAGAGCAAAATTTTGACAGCTTGTTCTGGAAGACATACTTGTATACTAATTCCTAAATTCACTCTGTCTGCTCCTTATTTATCTTGTCACTCACAGATAATGCTGTGCTTGCAAAGTTAGCAAAAAATAGCAACAACTTTCTTCTCACCTGTTCAGGGTCAGCTAGCCTGGGTTCTTCAACAATTTCTACCAAGGCACTGGAGCTGTGCTCCAAAAATGGTACGGGAAGTTCCTTTGGCAGCCCCTCCACATTATTAAGCCAGCTATAGCCACATTCTGATGCTATCTCTGTTACAATAGAGCATTTGAACAGGTGTAAGGGTGCTGAATGACGTACGCCAAGTAACAAAAAATCTGGCATGAAGCATGCGAATATGGTAAGGTCTATACATGCAAAACCAATATGATATGAGATTAATCACACACATTTTGATGGGCAGATGAACACTGTGATTTGATCATAAAATATACTAATAAATAATAATATTTACAATATAACCCCTTTTTCACAAACTAGTTGGGAATTGAGGAGTACATAAAATCGAAACTTTCATAAAATTGGACATCTCAAAATTACATTAGGTACGATGCATATGTTGCAGTATGGTACACTTTCTTTTTGTCCTTCAAATAAGTGCAAAGTAATTTCCAATGCACTGGAGGCATCAGAATGAGAAGGGATGTCAACTTGTTTATTATCGACATAACTTTCATTATGTGATTTTTCTTCCATCTAGAAAAATGGTTTGTATAACTGGCATTTATAAGATTGATGTTTATAAAAACTGAGGTTCTACTGTAATAGTAATAAGTTCTTATGTAGGGTTTTTCATCCACAAATCGCAAAGTGCTTTACAAAAGGAGATTAAGTGCTATCCACATTTTATAGATAGTACAGAGAAGTTATATATGTGATTTTCAAAAACGGCCTACATTTGCTTCCATTGAAATCAACTGAAAAACTCCTTTTGACTCCAATGGGAACAGCTAGGTGAATGCTGAGCTCTTTTGAGATCCAAGTGATCAGGACGTTGGTTTTGTATCTGATCTGAAAGACAACTCCTCCAGTCGCACAGCACACACAAATGCTACACTGCAACATCGGTTCAGTAGTGACTTACAGGGAGACGTGTCTCATAATGAATCACCTCTACAACTTCTTGCAGCTTCTAGGCTTTTCCTCAGAGGTCTCACATTCAAGTACTACCAAAGCCCAACTCTCTTGAGCTTATGAGATATGTTGGGATCAGAGTTCACAATAGCATGGCAGCAGACCACATACATCTGATAAATCCAAACATTCCCTTAGACACATACATATGCACCCCTTAATGAAACACTTCCGTAACTAGTAGTGCATATGAAATAAAACAGAATTCCTACTTGCTGTTGTATGAGACTGTTTGGTATGTTGTAGAAAAGATGGAGTTTGACTAGCTTTGTTTCTGACTGGATCCAAGACTGCCTCCCTCTTCAGATTTAGCTGCTCATCCTGGAAAAATAGGTCAGCATTCTTAATGGGGGAAAAAGGAGGAAAGGAAAAAATAGTATAATAAAACTAGAAGTTTAATAATATATCACAAACTGCTGCACAATTTTCTTTATTGTGTTCCTTACATTTTTTTCCCAATCCCAATTTCTGCTTCCCAACCAATCACACTTTGTAACAATAAATATTTTCTTTTCTATAGCACCTTCCATCTAATGTTTTCGGCATGCTTTATAAATGTGCAAAGAAACTGGAGCTTGGTATTAGCCTGATTTTATGCATGGGGAAATTAAGGCACATAACAGCTATGGGACTTGCCCATAGCATTAGTTTGAAAGAGTTGGGAGTAGAACCCAGTTCTGTGACTCGCAATCCTGTAAAGACCACAAAGACCATTCTTCCTTTCCTAGACATAAGAAGCTATTTAATTATGCATTTAACTTGGAGGTCCCTGGTGTCAGCTGAGATGACAGCAATCATACTAGTGCAGCTGAGGTGGTAAACCAGTAGCAAATTACTAACCCTAGCGAGGAAGGAATTGTGCCTTTCTGATCATGCACCACCTCATGGCAGAGTACAACAGCAGAGGAGATCTATTTAAATGACTTGCACAGGAGATAGGTATTGAATCACACAAATTTCCATTCATTTCAGAACAGAAGTGTTCACAGATGTGTGTGACAATGCAGGAATTTTGAAGTTATTTGATAAATTCACAAAAATACATCAGGCAACCTTTTTTTAAAATTAAATCTTGTTTTTCTAAATTTCAGGGTGACTTTTCATGTCAAAACACCCCTAGGCAGTGTCATATTGTCCATTCTTTAAAAAGGAAATAATCCAAAAGATAAGATGGCTACACAGCAGTGATATAATAGAAAATTCTGTGACACCATAGATTGTTACATGAAAATATATATTATGGAATTACATTGCCTACCAAATCAATTCAGCTGTCCCCTCCCACATCCTTCTCCCTCATTCCATCCATTCACCTGGGCTGTGATCTTTATTTCTTGTGAATACCTAATTAACAAAGGAACTGATGTTTTCAGTCAGTTGCCTGTCCAAAATTTGTTGTTCATGTGCACACTGAGGAAAACGCAGCCGAGCTGAGCTTAGTGCCCTGCTCATATCTCTGAGCATGCTCCATAAGAATCCAGACCTTTCAATGAGCTTTGCGTGATTAGAACCTGGACCCACGTTGAGCTCACTGCAGGACCAGGGCCTAATTCGGTAATATTGCATGAAGTTTAGCAACTATACTAGCTTTCAAGGATTGTAGACATGCCTATTGCTTGATGCTTTTACTGATAGCTTTACCATCCTTTATGCCTTACTATGCCATATGTATGTAGGCACATTTCCTTTCTGAGTGAAGAACAGTCAAATGTTCCCATTCATTGCTTCAATAACAAATATTAAATAATGATTAATCGCATGGACTGGCTGAAAAGTTACCAAACTTTAAAATCCTCCTTTTTATATTTCATACTGTTCATCATTTTACAGTAATGATGGGACACTAATGAGATTAACATGTAAATCAGGACACTTTGCAAGTGCTCTGTCTTGGATACTACAAGACCAGTGCAATGAGAAGATCAGTGAACCCTACTGAAATACAGGGGGGGAAAAAAACCCTCACCAGTACTACAATATACCACTGGAGGTCTCCCTCCTCCTTTTACTATACACAGCTTAAAGCTGTGCCTCAGTATCCTAAAGTAACGTTTCATGCTAGAATAATTCTCATTAATGTTTTACAAAAGAGAAAAAATATAACCACCAATCCAGAAAATTACATGTGGTGCTGTTGTTGCTGTTTGACATGGCATTTAAGGGATTCAACCGTCTATCAAACAGAAAGAAATATGCTGTGTAAATTAATCAATCAATGTATTTAGGGACACTTTGCACACTGAAGGATACCAATAGTTCTGTTCCTTGGGTCTTGACATCTTCCTACAATACAAGGCTATGTATTATAATATATGGAGATATACCTATCTCATAGAACTGGAAGGGACCCTGAAAGGTTATTGAGTCCAGCCCCCGCCTTCACTAGCAGGACGAAGTACTGATTTTTGCCCCAGATCCCTAAGTGGCCACCTCAAGGATTGAACTCACAACCCTGGGCTTAGCAGGCCAATGCTCAAACCACTGAGCTATCCCTCCCCTATTAGTCCCAATCAAAAACCTGTCAAAAAGGAGTTATTAATATGCGAGGGAAAATGATCTTGAGGTTAAGGCACTGGAGTGGGACTCAGAAGATTTGGGTTTGATTTATGTGTGTGACCTTGGGCAAGTCACCTATCCTCTTGGTTTCCCTTCTGTAAAATAGAGAGAATAAATACTTCCTTTATCTGGACCTTTATCTGCCTTATCTATTTAGAGAGTAAATTCTCCAGGCCAAAAATTGCTCCTTAATGTGAGTACTATAGCACTATAGGGTCCCAGTCTCAGTTGGAGCCTTTAGGTGTGTATGTGAAACATATTTATTAATATTTATATTAATGAAGCCCAGCTAACAATGTAAAACAAAGTGCACTTTCAAAACAAAGCCATATCTTTTAAAAACTTCAAATGTTAAAAAGCCTGGAGTATCTGAAGGCTGCCCAAGAGATAATTGGTGTGCAGGGTTAACCTGCAAGATAATTAAATTCCCGTGTTATAAGTTCAAACACCATCACACCCAAATATAATACAGTGTTAGAGCACATTGCTTCTTTAGATACTCAGTGTGAGATGAGATGAGATTTTACGCAATATGCCATGTCAGCCTCTAGTAATTGGATGTCACTGTTTCCACAAGACTTCTTGGCAAGTGATAACTGGCACTGATACAAAGAAACAAGCCCACATTGCCCCTTTCCAATGTGAGGCACATCTCCACAGTAAATAGGCTTCACTCTCTTCTTTAGTTATGTCCCTAACTGTTCTTATTAGCCTAACAGCACCATAGTTATGCAAAGGTAAGCTATTGTCCTCCAACTCCTTACTCAGGCAAAACTCCTACTGGCTTCAATATTTGGAAAACACTGGACTTCTGTGGGAGTTTCTGCCTCCATAGGGATGGCAGGATCTGGTCCTAAATGAACACTGGGCTCACTGAAGCCTTTGAAAGGTAGAACAAAGCTTTGGCAGAGAGTTAGGAAGAGGGTCAACAAATTCAATTGCCTCAAACAAGTCACTGTTCTACTGAATACTGAGAAGTCGGAATTTTTGTGTGAAATTTATCAGCTGACTAGAGTAACCATAGGACAAGATAAATCTCATTATCCTGCAATAGGTGCAAGGGCAAGTTAACGTCTTTCCAGGCACTCACTACAAAGGTGGTACTTCAAAGGAAGAAAAAAATTGAGCATTTCTTACTAATAAAGCCATGAAGGCACCCTTGTTGTTAGCCCAGAGATAAGGCAACAAAATTGTCCATCAAGTTCTCCTTTTATACACCCTGCATCATATTTTAAAAAGCTGGAGAAAGAGATGGGCTTCCTGTTTCTTAGGCAGCTTTAACTTTTGTGACCAACACTAACAGAAAACCAAAGCTCATACCTTAACAGCTTTA